TTTCAGATTAATTAAAAACATTGTTAATTTAATTCTTTTAATAACCTTTTGAATATTTTCTTTTATTATTTGTTTTATTTATGAATAAAAGTGAAAGTAATGCAATTTTATAATCTCTGTGATATAATTCTTTATACAAAAAATTCCTCTATTGATTTTATCTTATTAAAAGAATCATTGAAAATGCATAAAAAAGAAATATATTTACATTCGTGTTTTATATTCGTATCGGCCTTGAATTTTAAATTTTTATAATTTAACATTCTAGTAAAGTAAAAAAATTATTCTCTATTTAATTAAGTGATTTTATTTTCATTTATTTCGTTCAGAAGAATTTTGATTTAAAAAATACAATTTTAAGAAATACAATATAAAATTTTAGAAATTTTAGAATCGAGAAGTTTGTAATAAGAATCATGGCTGCGCGCTGCGTCCGACGTAAAATAGAAAATTACTCATATCTTCTGCTGCTATATTCTTGCACAAACATAAAAATGCGATTTTGATTATACAAAAATAAAATGACAAAAAAATATTAAATAGATATTCATTTTTATTGCATATTTCGAACATAATTCCGTATATTATAATATTATTCAAAGTGACTGTATTCCTTTCAGTATATATATATATATATATATATATATAAAATAAGATTCTAATACAGAAACTTAACATTTTTTATGACTATTGCAATCTTTTCAATTGTTATTGTAATCAAATTTGTTTGGAAAAATTGATTTTAAATAATATAGGCACTTAAAACAAAATTCATTATTTGATCCATAGATTAGACTATTTGTATGTATATTAATGCTCTGAAACTGAATCCAATATCCAAATTGCTCTATCAAGTTACAGTTTTTTATCGATGGAAAATAGCTTGATTATCTATTTTATTTTATTAGTCATTTATGGTTTTTAATATGCTAGTTAAAATAAAAAAGACAAAAATAAGTTCGACAATCATATGCACGCTTATAAAGTTAATATGCAAGTTGGTAGATTAAATATATTGAAATATCGAACTATTTTCCGTCGAAAGAAAAAAATTGTGACGTGATGGAGAACAATTTAGATTTTAGAGCGTCAAAATACATAAGAATTGTCTAAGCTACGGATAACAAAATTTTTTATTGTATTCCTGTGTAATTTTTCCTTCATCGGTTGTGTAAAATTGCATACAATATTGAAAATATTGAAAACATGTTGGAAAATATAAATGTTTAAATATAACCAATTATGAATTACGTTTAGATAATCATTTGAACATAAAAATATGATATTAAAAATACTCTCTTCAGCGTTTAAATGTATTTTGTCTAAACGTAATCCATTATTTAAAGCCTTATTATTTTGCAAAGTATTGCTTAAAATAAAAATTTACAAATGACTTCATTACTTAATTTTTTAGAGAGAAGATTTTAGAAAATCTTCTTACTGTATTTTGATTTGCAAATTTCAGGACATCCTGTATATATGTTAAAGAGGTAAAAAATAATTCTTGTATTATATTCCTTGAATCTATTCGAAATGATTTGAATTCGTATATATTATCAGAAATGGCTAAAAAATAATAAATTATTGTTACCTAATAATTGTAATAATGAATTTAATATACATAAGAATTATATACCTGTAATAAAACGAATTTATTTTTTTAATTCTACGAAATTCGAAATCTATCAAAAATAAGGAATAGATTGTTAAAACATCAATGATGAAAACAACGATGAAAACGGTAAATTATAATAACTTTCTAACGTAGAAATATAATCTAAAATATTTTATTAATCATTAGAAATGGTAAAAAAAAATGAATTAATTGTAACATATGTAAGAATTTTTAATATTGAAAATATTATTGAAAATATTATTTAATATTGAAAATAATATTAAAAAGTTGAAATGTGTACGATGAAATATCGATAGTATCGCACCTACGTAATGTCATTGAAACAAAAATGGCTGCTACGAAAGATCTGGCGGGATTTGATCGAATTCTGCGAATAATCAACAATAGATTGATACACATTAATTAATAAAATTTGAATCATTATAGTGAAATAGAAAGGAAACAGATATATCTTCATAAAATAATAACATGCAGTTCCATTCTGAAAGCGGGTTAGAAATGTTATTGAGATTTAAGGAGAAATCACATTCGATTAACCTCGACAATGTTCTTTTCTCAACTGATATCAACAACAAGAGCATCATAGAGATCATCGGGGCTTCATCCACTGGAAAGACTGTATTATTGTGCCAATTCATAGCAAAATGTATACTACCCGCGCAATATAAGGGGATCAAGATCGACGGATGCGATGCCTGTGCGATATTGATCAACACACTTGGCCATGTACAGATGAGTAAGATAGCAGAACTAATGACGTCCACGGTACGCAACGCATATCAGGCAGCTAATGTACAACTGTCAGCCGAAACGGTAGACTACATAATAAACCAATCTCTAGAAAACTTAACAGTGATCAGCTGTTGCAACAATGATCAACTCCAGCTGATTCTGCACACACTCGAAGATGAGTTTTTCAACAATAAAAGAATCACTTTATTAGCTATAGATAATATACTGGCATATTATTGGCAGGCAAGGAAAAAGAATATACTTACTATGAATTATTATGCTACAGGCTTACTCAAAATCATTCGGTCTCAAACATCTCAGTTTCACATAGTGACGGTTTACACTAAATGGGATAGACCAGTGTCCAAGTACGAATCATATGCGAAATGTACAGATACATTAGAGAGGACAGGTGTAAATTATAGGCTGCAGCTTAGTAAAAGTACTAGAGTTCGTGAGTTTATGTGTCATGTACAATTTACTAATAATGTAAAACAGATTTATTATACAATCTCTGATTCTGGTATAAAATGGATAAGATAAATATAAATTAAAAATAAATAAGTTTCAATAATTAATTGATGAAAGAAGAACCTTGTCCACTATGTCTAATGGATTTAACAATCTTGAACCTGCTATTGTTATTTGGCAATTTGAATTAAATAATGATATAATTTCTTTAGTTTCTCTTATTTCTTCTGGTGTTATACCTCCAATGACATAAATGATAATCCAATTGTTATCACATGGATGATGTTTTATTCTTCCTTTAGAAAATAAGCTGTCAAAGATATTCAAAACTAAATTTTCTTCAGAATTTCTTTAGAAAAATTGAGACAACATCCATTTAATATAACATATATAATAATAATGCATAATATAATGATAATATAATATATAAACTTACTTGAATCCAGCAGAAATAAACGAAGGTGATCTCTGATGTAAATCAGGAAGTTCATATCTATCTGGCTGGAGTATATCTGTTAATAATTGTTGCAAGATGCTAACACGTCGAACAATCTCTTGAGAACTTGATTTAGACATCAAAGAACTGTAAGAAATATTTAAAATGCCACTATATATTTTTTATATTTGATATATTTATATTTGAGCAAATATGAATATTTAAACATGTAAAATATGAAATAAGAATTAGAACCATTCTGAATTCGAATATATTCAATTTCAAAATGAATTTTATCTTTGCAGATATAAATAAAAAATGTGTAATATATATACACAGATAAATACATATTCCATAATAATTAAGTATATATATATGTATAAATTATATGTATGTATATATCTTTATAATTTCATACGTATAGTTATGTAGAGGCGCGCGTTGCTGTGCTATTTCATGTAACGTCTTCATAATATGATTCGCTATTTTTGCAGATGTTTCCTTTATACTCTCAGTCTCTGTAACATCTAATTTAGATATATATCAGTATTATGTTGCAAATTATTATATTACACACTTATCTTTAATTATTCAATAAGCTCAAACATTATCTTGATGAATTTATAATCTATATTTTCATGATGCATTTATATAAAAAAATTTAATTAGGTAATGAAAAATCAATTTCTTTATCTCTAAATAAGTTGTTGATAACTTTATCCACGAGATATCTTCCAGATATCTCATTTATTCATGAGATATCTGGGAGATAGCTTATGGATAAAGTTATCTAGAGATGACGAAAATGATCATAAAATAAAAAAGTTTAATATAATTTATATTTTTTACATAAAATTATTATCAATGTAATAATATTTTTAATAATATTTTAATAATATTTTTTTAAGCATATTTGATATATATTTGGTATATATTATGAATAAATAGTTTAATATATTAGGAAGATAAAAACAATTTTGTATAATTTAAATTAAATATAATTAATTTCATATACAGAATAGATATTATTTTTCATTGTCAAATAGAATTTTATATTACTTATATATATTCTCGGATTTTGTTTTATTTGTAATATTAAAATATTTTTCATAATGTATTAATGATTTATTATTTTTGTATTTTATAGCACATTTTACTAACCGAAAAGCAATAAAGTTTGTTGATACACTGACATCTTGCTGTTCATATTTTCTTTTAATT